TTTTTTTTTTTTTTTTTTTTTAATAGGAATGTTATATTAGAATTTAGAGATGCCAAAACTCGAAGCAGGCTCCCAAGTATAACAGGGATCAATTAACCCAATCGTGAGCTTCAATGTAGGACTTGGATCCTTTAAGCTAAAATTCCTCTAAATTATCTTAAGTTGATTTTTTTATTAATGACATGTGTCATTTAAAATATATCTATGATTTATGTTAAATCACTTCAACTAATTTAATAGAAGTTAAAAAACTGCACCGTTTTAAAATAGAAAAGTTTTAAAATATCTTAATTATTTATACTTCAGTTTAAATTTGAATTTGCATAAAAATACATCAAGTTATTACCAACCAAATATTTAGTATTTCTAAATAATGAACAATATTTTTGTTGATATCATGGCAAATTATGCTCAAAACTTAAATTTTATAAAATTCATCTAATCAGACATTGTATATTATTAAATTAAAAACTTACTATCCAAATTTCTTTAATCAAATCACCTTTTTTATCCAAGCCAATACTATTATTTCAAAAAAGAGATAGAGGGAGCAATCTTTGTTGGGGGGAAGAGAGGAGGTCTTATGAGAGAGATGTTTATGTATTCATAAAGCTTTTTACTTTAAAACAGTGTAGTTTTCTAAATTTTATTAAATTAGCTAATGTGATTTTGTGATGTTTCTATTTTTCACCATTTTTTCATTTTTTTCGGAATTTTTGTCGTTGCGAGAGCATTTTCGTCTTTTGCCGTTTTGTGTACCGGACACTGTGGAGTGTGTCGGTTATGTCTGAGAATTGATTGGGGCATTTCATTGAGTTCATGACTCTTTGAAATGCAAGGTTGTCATTTTTGCATTTTTTTCGCTTTTCGGGCCGGATGGTCCCGTGTGAGACCCGCTATCGAAATTGCTGCACACGGGGATTTTAATTGGGTCCAATTGCATTATATTTACTTTATTTAAAGTGATATGTGGTTATGGTATGGTGATATATATGTATATATGTGGTGTAAAATGAAAGTAAAGGAAAAAGGGAAAAAATTTGTGGGGCCCACATCTATGTTTTAGGAGAGAGAAAGAGACTTTGGTCTCATTTCTTTCCCTTTTCTCTCATTCCCGCTAGTCTCTCTCTTTGTTTCTCAAACTTTCATTTTTTATTTTTTTTCACTTCAAGGCTTTAATTCTTAATATTTTTTAGTGCCGTTTGCGACAAATTGAAACTCACGGCGAGATCTACAAGTTGATTGGAGCAATTTCTAGTTTGGTGCACTTGGGAATTTCGAGATTTAGGGCATTAATTTGGAGGTTTTGTATAAAATTAAGGTAGGGGTTTCTAATCCATAATCTCTTGGATTTTTGTGAGTCAATTCCTCCTAATTTATGTTATAACATGATTAATTTTGTATATATTTCATGTAAAATTTGCTCTGTGTTGTATATGAGATGTATTCGCATGCTAAGTTGATATGTGATGAAGAACTATATTTAAATGATAATGTTTTCATACCTATTGTATTATATGATGAATTTTGTGATTAAAAAGCTTGAGATATATTTCTAGAATTTTTCTTTTGAATTAAAGCATGTAATTATGTGAATTAATTGATGTTGTATGAGAAAGCATGTTTAAGTGGTGAATTTATATGTTTATTGTATTTGATTTGCTAAATTTTCATTATAGAGACATGTTGGTTATTATTAGAAATTTCCTACAAAGCTTGCTATATTGTGACCACATGACTTGTACAGTATATGATTCCCCTTTATGATATTGTTGAAAAGTATGATGCATTCATGTATAGCATTGGGTAAGGAAAAATGAAAGAATTGCTTTAAAATAGAAAAGGGGGATTTTTGGAAAAAAGATTTAATGAAATGGTTTTGTGAAAAACCCGGTTGCCACGAAGCTACCAAAGGGCCGTGGTGTTAATATAACCTAGAGGGAATCAGGGAGATCACCCTAGCGTGGTTGAGCTATCTGAACCCCAAATGACGCCGCGGAGATACCAACGGTCAAGGACAGTAGCCAATCTTTCTCTCGTGTCGCCGTAAAGTCACCAATGGACGGGTTATATTAACAGTTTGAAAAGTGATTGATTTGGATTTTAAAAATGGGGAGTGACATTCATGGCATCACATATCATGGCACGACATTGTTATTTTGGAATTGGAATTAATGATGTACTCTTTTCTTTCATAGTATGACCCCTATCCTCTGTTTCTATTCATTATTTGGATTCACGGGGTTACAAGAGATGTGTCTTAGGCACCACCTACTGAGCAATTTGCTCATTACTTATATTTAATATTTTTCAGGACACGAATGGCAAGTGGCGGACGACGCTCCTCCACAGGGTTCGATGGGATAGTAAACCGTTTTGACATATTTTGTAGCTATAATCTTATTTTATTATTATTATTTATTTATTTATTATTACTTATTTTTTTTATAAACCCGGAATGACATGTACAATACGTATTGACGTAGGAAATAATGGTGTTGTCCCTAGTTGACCTCGGATTCGGTTAAGGACCCAGCTAACGGTTCGGACCTACAGATGCGGGTCGTTACAGATTTAATATAGGTCGTAGATATATCTTAGTGATACATGTCATTCAGTAGAAAATTTAACTTAAGATAACTTAGAGAAATTTTAAAATAACATGACAAATTAAAGAGGTACGTACTCCTATGGATGAGGGCGCATGAATTTGGGACTATATATGCTTTGGCACATTTAGTCTATTTATTGTTTCTAATAAGCCTTAAATTGATTTGGGTTGAAAGGTCATATACAAACTGGGTCGGGTCTAAAACCTACATTGAGCCTGCTTGTGTCTTTAATATAGCAGAGTTCGCAATAAGGTCTATATATCTTCTATTATTATTATTTTGAAAGAATAATTGTGTCGAGTCTCTTAAAATTAGAGCACATCATAATTTTCAATCTCGTCCCACATGTAAAAGACAATACTTAAACATAAATCACTCTTTTCTCCAAATGAAATAATATTGAGAGTCTAATAATTGTAGTGGTAGCAAAGCATGCTCTGTTTCCCCCAATTCTGCGGTCGTTGTAGTTGAGTTTGGTAACAAAACTAGAGGTTGTGCTCATATTGTGCATAAATTTAGTATCTAGATAATACTATATGGCATGTGTGTTTATTTCACACACACTATATGTCATGTATGTTAAACTAATATTACTTGCTCATCTGGAAAAAGATTCTGTTGTTTAAAGAAATTTTAAAAAAAAGTCATCCTCCATTTTTTTTTTCTTGACCATGAATGGTATCTTCCTCCTTATCTGTATCATTATTGATCCCATTTTGTCGTGATTAACTTGTCGGCTTTCCTCTACATATTAATTAACTAAATTTTGTTTTGTATTCTTCTTAATTCTGTTTGAACTCCAGAAAGAATGTAGACAACAATGTCTTTGGCATCTCTCTAATCTGACTTATATATTTCATTAAGATAGTTAATAATTAAACAAATTTATCCTTTGGAAGGAAGAAAGATCAACATTCTGCTGCCACTGTTGTTGATCCAACTGGGCTCTCCTTTAATCAAAGAAAACGAGAAAGGTTCGAGCCTCACAGTGAGCATTTGTGAATGTATTCTTAAAAATAATAATAATAATAAAATCAACATCATGTTTTTATACCATTCTAGTTCTATATATCTCGGAGCTAAAGAACTTGAATATGTTTATGTATGAAAATTAAGGCCTGAAGTGACCCATAATATATTTTTTTTGATAACTCGGATATCTGAGATTTTGCCCAAACTAATTCCGGAACATCATGCAAAGCGCCCCCTCATTATAGTTCTGAGATCAAATTTGTGGACTACCTCCGCTGTTTTCCAAACAACTTTGATATCAAGAACAACTTTTGACCACTTACCTAAAATTAGATAAAACATAAATGGATTAAAGAATAGCAACAACTGACATATTGATCTAAATATACCAGATTTGCAGCATTTGGTTTAATGAAAAAGGGTTTATATAGACATAAGCAGTAGTAATCGATCCATCAAACACAACTAACAGTACTCCCCTACACCTAATTAACAACTGTTCAACCTCCATAGAACTGTTTGGGGGGAGAGAAAGTGATCACTTAACACAATAATAATATAAATAATTAGGTCTTATATAGGTTTGGTAACGTGAACACCTCAAAACTACCTTTTCTAATAATCACTTGGTCCCTACGTAACTGGCCTACACCATCAATCTTAATCATATGATTATATAGTATTAGTCTATATATTATTTTTTTCATAAAATAATGTTTCAGATATCAAAATTTTCAAACTGAATCTGGAAGAAATCTTTCCAACAGTACTTTTTTTTTTCGAGAGAGTTAAATATTTAGTATTTTTTTTAATCTTTTTAATCTTGCTCAAAACCATTAGATAAGATAAATAATGATTCGGAAGGTCTTGTAGTTTTGTGGAGTTTGATTAGATAATTGTTTTTTTAAAAAGATTTAATTATATGAAAATTTCAAGAGTACTTCCTTGTTGGTTTAAGGAAAATTCAGTTTCCTGATTTGATTTTACTTATTAGTTTAAGGAAAATTCTGTTTCTTGATGTGATTTAACTTCCTTATTGGTTTTGAATTATACAAAAAGTTGAGAATTAGAGATAAATTTGTGAGGGAAAATTTTTCTCGTAATTCTTTACCTTTCTCATAGTGAATTTGTTCCGTGTGCTACATGAATGTAACCCTAAAATTTGGGTGAATTATGTATATATTGTGTTCTTGTGTAACAGTGTTATTTATTTTGCGTTTCCAACCCAACAACTAGTATCAAATCCTATTGATCATGCAGGGCAACTCTAACACAAGTGTACAATAAGGGCACGTCTAAAGTCTAAACTAATGAATTATTAATTTACTCTAATAACGTACGTGACAATTCAAGGGCCAACTATCTCTTCATAAATGCTTGCATATCATATATAGAGTTTAATGGTGTATATGTGTTGAACGTGAAGGTGTTTCCTTTTGGTCATAACTAACTCGTTTGAATCTCACCCACCTTTAGAAAATCAAAGAAACTTCAAGTCTTCAACCCAACCTAGCTCTCTCTCTCTCTCTCTCTTTCTCTCTCTCTATATATCTTTCTCTCTCTTCACATATATAAACATCTTTATATATACTTCTATATTTCTAGCAAAAAAAAAAAAAAGCAATGGAAAAAGCACAAAATCGTCAACAAAAAGAGAATCAAATTCATGGAAAGGGAAGGCCTCCTGTATGGGATTGTGGTAGTTCACTCTATGACTCTTTCGAGCTCAAATCATTCGAACGCCAACTTGACTCGGCTATAGCTTCAAGAACCCTGTCAATGCCTCATTTATCCGATCGCCGCGTTCTTCCACCACCACCACCACAACCACTGCAGCCCGTGTCCAAAAAGTCTTCAAAGCTTTCCCGGTCGTTTCATAAGTTTCTTCGCTCCATTTTTCGCCCAAAACAAAATAATAGTTCGTTATTTCAGTTGCAGGAGCGATCCCAAGATGGATTTTATGTTGTTTATGATAGGTTCGGTTCACTTACAACCATACCGGAGGTGCCAGAGACCGGTGTAGAACCCAGCAGCCTTTCACCGGAAATGAAGGCGTTGGTGAGAAGAACCGCCTCTGACCGGTTTACCGCCACTTCTATCGGTATTTCATGTGCTTGATAGCTCTAAAATGTTTGACTGTGCTATGATATACTGTAGATAGTGTACCAATTAAGTTGATATTTTACTATGGTTTTGTGATGATGTTATGTATATGACTTTAGCTTTGAGTGATTTTGAAGTTTTCATATATTTATGATCTAAAACTTATACATGCTGATCAGGTCAAAATTTTGGTTAGATGTAGTAGGTAAGAGCTAGTTAGACTATGAATGGATTTTGGTGATTTCATGTGAGCTTTTGACTAATAATAATTAGTCCATAAAAGATGCCTTTTTTTCCAAATTCGACCTTGGACTTAGTAGGTTATTTTTTATTCATAAATTATGTCTTTGGCCATTCTTTTTATTGATCATTAAGGTAAATTTTAATTAGATTATTTAGCTAATATGGATTAGGATTCAAATTTTGGGACCAAGTATATTTGATGCATGAATTGAGTTAGACTTTTAAATGGACAATCTGTAATGTTAGAAGATGTTTAGGGGAGAATCAAACTTAAACTGAGCTATTTTGTGGTAAGATTATTTACAACTTGTTTTTGATAAATTAATTATTGGAAGAAGTTTTTACCTTCTTAAGAGAGCAAATTATATTAGAAATTGGAAACAATTTTAAAATGCATAAAATTAATAATAAAAATATGCGGAGCTTCATTGTATATCTTTAGTTTTTAATTATATCTAGCCTTACCAAAAAGAAAATGGACACACTAATTAAGAATTTTAGCTCTGCAAATAAATTCTCAAAAAAAAAATTTTTTTTTTTTTGCCCCCTTTCACTTTGGAAGTAAATTCCAGCAACTCATTATTTCTGCTACAAATGTCCATTAAGGAGTAGAAATTAGAACAAATTATTTTCCTACCAAACAGAGGCAATTTTTTTATTAGGATGTCCTGCTAACTTAAGAGTCATTCATTAGGCCAGTCATATATGATCTGCGTGCACACTGAACGACCAAAACAAACTTACTACCAGTTTACATTAGTTTTCACAAGGTATGTAATGCTCAATGAACTCAAAACACATACATTTAGCAAAGCAACAACCAAATATTGGCCCTTGAAGTGATGATCTCACTATGATGACACATTATTCAATTGAAAGAAACAAAACCATGACTCTGCTGAATTTGTGGTGAAATGCAACTGAAAAGATATATGTACTTTTGTCAGCCATTTATGGTTTTGTTTCCTAGAGTTTTTCATTTTTGAATTCCTTACACATGAGGGAATGTATCTAGCCACCCGGCTCTAATGCTATGTTAGGTAAAAAAGAAAGAAGAAGGGCAGAAGAAAAATAGGTAAGAATGAACAAATATCTTACTTTCAGTAGAGATATATAAGGAAAAAAAAGATAATGAGGAAAGATGACATCTTCACAAATTTTCTTCCACACAAATATGGGCGGAAGATAGAAAAGTAGACAAGTGAGTCTATTATAGAAATTTTAAATTACTACATCACTCTTCCCTAAAGATGTCTGGACATCCTCTCTTCTTTTCCTTCCATTCAATTTTTTTTTTCCTTTCTACCGAACGGAGCATAAATAATATAGCAATGGCTTTACCAGCTGGCTGTGCACAATTTTCAGCAAGCCATGTCAGCAATTGGCCCGGCATTTTTGGCCATTACATTTAGACATTATAGTAATAAAAGATTAGACCATTTATTTATGAAACCTAGCACTTTAGAAGAGAAAAAAATGAAGTGGGGACCATGCTATTAGTGTGGCCGCGGCAAAGGTCGGATGTAAGAAATTATGTGAGGAAGGCAATAGTAAAAAAAAAAAAAAAAAAAAAAAAAAAATGGTTATAATTTTAGGAGAGGTTATATTAAAATTTCATAATTATATAATTCAAAAAAGAAAAAATCACTACTAAAAAATGCGATGATTGGCTGCAGTCTCGACACAGCTGACAAGTCTGCAAACAATTTTCGTGTGGGATGTGAAAATTGACCAGCCCACACGAAAAAGAATACTAACCAATCTGACTGTATGGCTGGCTAAACCTTGCTCTGAGATGAAGCCTCAGCCAAGGTCCAAGGTAATTGATTTTGGCACAAGACATCTAGCCAAGGCATGAATTGGCGCCTTAAATTGGTTGGGCCAAGTCAATTATGAGATGGGGTTCTAACAACTTAAAAACTAGGAATACAAATCACACGTGCCACCTCAAGGTAGGTATACCTCTTTATAACATAGGAGGCTCACTCCATCCACAAAATGAAGCCTCCTATCAATACTAGTACACTTTGATTAAGGCCTTCTTATGATATGAGTGAATGAGCAATTACTTGGTGACGTGCTCCAATTGAATCCATCCCCTTCGAGAGATCAAATTCTACTAATAAATGCAATCGCCCAATAGTAGTACACTTTGATTAAGGTCGTCTTATGATATGAGTGAGTGAGCAATTACTAGGTGACGTGCTCCAATTGAATCCATCCCCTTTGAGAGATCAAATTCTACTAATAAATACAATCGCCCCAATTTGTGAAGATAGTGACACACTACCAACAATTGCTTACAGAAATGGTGGTTTATTTTCGTTTAACAAAAAAATATTAAATAAAATAAAATACCATTGAGATTTGAGACTACCTTGCTGCAGTGTAGAGTCACTAATGCTGCCTTTCCCAAATTTTTATTTTTTAGATTTCAACATAGTGTGTAGCACGAGCTGCACAACTAGAGGTGACTAGCTTTCTCTCACTCTTAAGACTAAAAAGTTTTACAAGGCATTTCATCTATGATTCATAGTATCGGTCATGGTAGCAATGTAACGGATTCGGACAAAGTCAATATAAACTGGCTGATACATCGCATATTGGACGATAGACCAATTATTTTATCATAAAATAAGCAAGTTTACATTCTGATGACTCTTAAGACTCAGAAAGTTTCACAAGGCATTTCATCGTAAAAAAAAAAAAAAAAAAAAAAAAAAAAAAAAAAAAAAAAAAAAGACAAGTTTACATTCTGATGGAATATTGTAGCCAAGCACTGACCTATATGTAAGGCAATTGCCTCCAAGATTTTTCTTTTTTAGTATTATACCCGTATTAATTTTTTCTTTTTGAATAGAATTTCACTATTTCCCCACTGAAATTACTACTAAAATTCACTAGCAAAGGGATTATTGATAGTTTTCTTTATTTATTTTTTTCTTTTTTGCATAAATTTATTAATCATTACAACGGATTTTTTTAAGTCCCCCCCACCCAAAAAAAAAAAAAGTTCAATGGAAGAGATAAAAATGAGCTTGTGGATATGCAAGTCTCACCAAACGTATGTGTGTGTGTGTAATATATTGCCTAGTATAATAACAAGTTATGCAATTAATTGCATTTTGTTTACAAAGAACAGATGTTTTTGCATCTGGTTAATGAAATACCAATGTGTTAAAAGGAAGAAGAGTATCTGCATCTAAATGCTCTACCAACTTTGCTGCCCCCTTCTTGTTTTATAAGAAATTATAAAATTTTGAGTTCACATGACACATAGGATAGTTGCATCAACAATTTGTTGAGTATGCACAGCGGAATGGTTGTGGAATATAATATGGATAAATAATTTAGAGGATGATAAATATATTTAACTTTCTCTTTTATTCAATTTTTACTTATTTTAATTTTACCGAAATAAAACTAAAATCAAACCACAAAACAAAAATAAAGTGCAAATAAAGTTTGAGAGATGATACCAGGATTTTAGTGAGGAAACCCTAATTGGTAGAATAGACTAATTGTAACAGGAAAAACCTCGTTGGACTCTTCAGTCCTGAGATAAACGATCCACTATGTTTGAAGTAAAGTATACCGAATTTTGACTCAGTCTCACACCCTATCGTTCTACTAAAAGCCAATTGTTGACAATTCCTGGCTTTGCGACTTACCCGTCCAACAGCTCTCGACCTCAGGCATACTCTCGATCTCTATAGAAGAGTTGCAGGTAAATCAGATAACACTCCATGAATGCTCTGACCCCTTCAAAGTGTGATCGTTTCACCCCTTTTCTTCTAGATCTGAATTTGACGAAAAACGAATGAATTTTGCTTTTCCGAAATTTCTGAATCTTCAATTATGCTTCAATTCCGATGAGATAGAGAATAACACTACTAAATCACTCTTGTATTTATGTGTGTGCTCTCAAAAATAAAATCAGAAAAATCAGATTGATTTTCTGAATAAAAATATCTCTCAAATGGCTCTCAATTGGATCTAAATTTTCTATGCAAAAGCCGTGTATAAACCTATATGTATGATAAGGTTTATATAAAGTTTAGAATTTCCTAGTCCCTCTGAAAATATGGAAAAATTCGTGCATAGGACTTGGAAGTAAGCCTAGTCCAAAAAGGAATCAAACAGAGCAAGAAAAGCAAGTTACCAAAACTGTCAGGATGCCTTGAACCGGTTTAGAGGGGCTGAACTAGTTCAAGATGGCCAGGAAAGAATCGACATGATTCTTGAACCGGTTCAGCATCGACATGAATCTTGAACCGGTTCAGCCCCCTTGAACCGGTTCAAGATGGCCAGATTTAAACTTTTCACTATTCTGTTAATGTTGAACCTGTTCGATTATTCTTGAATCAGTTCAAGATGGACAGAGAATGCAAAATCTTCCTTAAACACTTCCAAACTCTTCCTATGTGTTTTCACTACCTCTCAAAATTTCTTAAAGCATTGTTCTGATCATTTCGAAGTGTAGTAAAACATGAACACTTGAATTTCTTCAAATCCGCATCCGATCTTTTACCTTGAAATTTTGAACCGAAAAATTACAACTCGATCGAACTTGTTTTGATAACGAAATTAGCCAAAATACAATATATATATTTTTCATAATCTCCCCAAAATATATATTTCACAATCTCCCTCTTTGGCAATTTCGTGACAAAACCCTAAAAACAACATGTAATCTACCCAAGCAGAAAAATCAAATTACAATAATTGTCAAAGAAATAAAACAGAACTCTTCTTGAACATCATAAAGCTTCAACACATGTAGCCACCTGTAAACTACACATTAGCTCAACAAAACTACCCGTGAAGTTTAGTCAAGAAATAAAAACAATAAACATATATCAATATGTAAATATCAATATATAAATCTCTCCCTCAATTCTA